TGTTTTACAACGTCGTTGCCAAGAGACGCAAACCCAATCCCGATGGCAAACACCGGGGGGGGGCAGAAATGGGAAGGGAAACAGGGAAGCTCTAGCAGGACACTATGAGAGACTTGGAGTGCCCTCGGAGAATGAATCTTTTGACCAAGTGATTAAGAAGGAGGCGTACGCATGGGCCCAGAAGAAGAGACATCGAAGGCAGACGTTGGGAACGTAGAAGTAGAAAAGGAGTTCACTGAGGACGAGGTTGAGGCGTGTGTGAACAAGCTGAAGTGCCACAAAGCAGCAGGAGCGGATGGGATAGTCAACGAGTTCATGAAGTTTGGGGGGAAGGGGATGATCCAGCTGATGGTACTGCTGTACAATTGGGTGTGGAAAAACGAGTATACGCCAAGTAGATGGAGGGAAGGAGTGGTTGTGAACTTGTTCAAGAAAGGAGACAAGACTGACCCAGGAAACTACAGGGGGATCACACTGTTGAACACAGTAGGAAAAGTGTTCTGTAAGCTGCTGAACGATAGGATAGTGGGAGTATTGGAGAAGGAACATAGCATTAGTGAGGGCCAGGCAGGTTTCCGCAAGAAGAGGGGGTGCGTAGACCACGTGTTCACGGTAGGGAGAATCATCCAAGGTAGAAAGAGGGCGGGAAAGCCGACGTACTGCTTCTTCCTGGACGTGAAAAAGGCATACGACACCGTATGGAGAAATGGGCTGTGGAAACAACTGTCCAAATTCGGGATCAAGGGGAATTTGTGGAGAGTGCTGAAGGAGATGTCAGAGTGTACGAAAATTGCGGTCATGTTAGACGGAGAACAACTGTCTAAATTCTTCGACATTGAGCAGGGGGTCCCACAAGGTTGCACGCTGTCCCCAACATTGTTCCAGGTGTTCATCAACGATCTGTTGGAAGTCGTAGAGGCAGTCCGGAAGGGAGTAAAAGTAGGGGACACGGAAACGTCGGTTTCAGGAATGCTGTTTGCGGATGATTTTGTCGGTATGTCGGACACCCCTGAGGGACTGCAACTGCAAATTGACGCGGCGAAGAAGTTTACTGATAAGTGGAGATTGTCTGCCAACGTTCAGAAGAGTGCCGTCATGGTATGCAACGAGAACAAGGAGGAACCAGTAGAACATAGATGGAAGTGGGGGATCGAGGAGATTGCAGTAGTGGACCAGTACACATACCTCGGAGTAGAGATCGCAAAAGACTGCTCGTGGAATGCACACATGTCCAAGGTAGCGGAAAAGGGCAAAGCACGAGCAGGGAAGCTGCACCCAATACTCGCAAACCGGCACCTCGATACACGCATCATCAATTGACGGTTTTGAAGAGCGTTATCGTACCGCCGCTAGAGTATGCCGGAGAAGTATGGGAAGGAAAAAAGAAGGTAGTGAAAGAACTCGAGACGGCGCAGATGAAAGCAGCGAAAA